CCGCGTCAACCACCCTTACCCCCCGCCCTGGGGGGGGGGGAGAGTTCAGAGTCTCCAACCCTCAAGGAGCTCCGGTTGGGTAACCACCAATGCTCCCTCTAAGCTGTGGAGCCTTGTGAGCAAAACCTCTACTTTGTGAGCTCCTGGCATTAAAGTTGTGAGCCAGCGATTTGGCTACTGCATCAATTAGTTTGCTCTGGAGTCTGGAGCCATCCCTTCCTGAGTGAAGGCAAAAATGTGTGAGCCGGAGGCTAAAAAACTGTGATCTAGCTCACACCAACTCAGCTTAGAGGGAACACTGGTGACCACTAAAGAGTCCAAAGAATGAGTATCCGAATCAAACCACCTGGCAGAACTCCCCAATACCTAAGAAATACTTAGGTTTTGTGATTTTTTTTAGTTATAGCTTGTTTGCTAGATAAAAACAAAAACTGTCATTCTCTGGGGAGGTAGCCGACCTCGTATTAATGGAGCATGTGTATTGTCTTATATGTCGAAAGAAATTATCTTAAGAAGAAGAATGAATGAAACCGCTCCCCTGCTGCCTTCAGAGACCCCCCAGGGGGCGGAGAACGAGGGAGGGAGCCGTAAGGTGATGTGAGGGGGCCGGTCTCGCCCGGCGAAGTGCCTCGGGAGATCTCAGCGCCGCTCACCTTGGTCGCCTCTGCTACCCGCCCGGCCAACACGACGGCGACAGCCAGCACCACGCACACCGCCACCCCCGCTTCTGCCGGCGACGCCATCGCCGAGCCCCTTCCCCACCCGCGCCGCCCCTAAGGCGGCCCTCAAGACCCAACTCGGAGAGCGACGCCCATCCCGACTTCCGCTTTCAGCCACCGGTCCCTCGCCGCGTCACGTGACGCCACAAGTCTCCCCGCGTCCCATTGGATCTCCGGGACGGGAGGACGCTGCGCGCGCTCGCACGTCTCCCGTTCGCTTCCGGCCAATCGGTTAACTCCTTTTTGTGCGGACGGTATTTTGGTTGCTTGGACGACGGCGGCCTCGCGTCATAATGGAGAGGCTGAAGAAAACAGAAACACGGCCTTCTTCCCCCCCTCTTGAGAATCGCTATGTACCCGGGCAGTATTACGCAGGTGAATCTTGTCTGAGCCTAAAGCTACAGCAGTGGTGACAGTAGCAGTTAAAAGACACGGGGGGCGGGGGCACAGAATAAATGGTCACTCCTTTTACTTGAAGGTGTGTAAACCTTGTCGTCATTAACATTGAGAAGAAGTGGCATGCTCCGCCTTTCTGTTGCCTTCAGTCCAGGAATTCCATGTGTTGATGTGCAAAAGTTCTTCCTGTAAAGTGGAATTTCCCCCTAGGACTTCAATGCCACCACCCCGGGCAGGGCCGGTGTAACAGGCCGGATTAACCCCCCGGCCAGAGTAACCCCGGGGTTATTCTGGCCTAGGCTAGAATAACCCCGGAGGGGTTATTGAGGGGTTATTCTGGCCTAGGCTAGAGTAACCCCGGGTTAATCTGGCCGGCTGTAACAGGCCAGATTCACCCCCCCTGGCCAGAGTAACCCCGGGGTTACTCTGGCCTAGCCCAGAGTAACCCCTGCCGGGCCAGGCCAGAGTAACCCCGGGGGTTAGTCCAGGCGGGGGGTTACTCTGGGCTAGCCCATACTAACCCCTGCCTGGCCAGAGTGGTAAGTTAAATGTCAGCTGAATCCAATCTCTTCTTCTTTTTAACTTCTTTTTTTAACTTCTTCTTTTTAACTGCACAACACAACAACCTGTAACCCCGGGCTTAGTTGAATGGTAACTTAGATGTCAGTGTAGCCAGCACAGTGTCAGCTTCTGAGGGTCCATACTAACCCCCGCCTAGCCAGAGTGGTAAATTAAATGTCAGCTGAATCCAATCTCTTCTTCTTTTTAACTTCTTTTTTTAACTTCTTCTTTTTAACTGCACAACACAACAACCTGTAACCCCGGGCTTAGTTGAATGGTAACTTAGATGTCAGTGTAGCCAGCACAGTGTCAGCTTCTGAGGGTTTCAGGTCCATGAGAAACTTGTCAGGCAATCTGAGATCCCTCTTGGTAGTGAAGAACAGGGTATGAATCCAATCTCATGAGTCAACAGACCCAAATATCAACAGTACGACGACTGACATTTCTTTGGAGAGCCAAATTTTTTAAACTATATAGGTAGGTACTTTGTTATTAACTTAATTATGGTACTCCTAAGGCGGCCTTTGCTGAAAACGTCCTCGATCTGATTGAGGTACGTTCACTGAAGTCGACCCCTTCTAACTCTCCCTTCCCCCTTTTTTTTTAAAAAAAGGTTGCCCACAACTTTAGATTAGAAAG